ACCTGCCATGCCGAAGAAGGAATGTCATGTTCAAAGATCCTGTGAAGCCACCGCTTCTAATATGACAGTGCATGCTTTGCCATGCCCCTTGTACTGGCCCTGTCAAGCAAATGGACAGTTCTTTCACTCCCAATGCATACAATCTATGCTGCCAAGCATGCCTGGAAAGCCTCTAGCTGCGTTGGTCGCCAACAATCTCTCTGTATCAGCGGCGGTTGGCTGCCTCAAGTATTCAGGGCCAAACACTGCCACCACGGCCTGGCAGAACTTGTACAATGACATCAGACATGTGGTCTCACTCATACGCACATACTCATCCACCAGATCGCCTGAAATTCCATATGCAGGCATGCAGATGGCCGCGGTGCATTTCTGGTAAGAGGAGAATCCGAGCTTGCCAAGGGCATCTGTCTTGCACTCGAAGTATGGGTCATGAGCAACCACTCCCTCTCGGATACGACTAAATAGATGCCTTGCCATACAAAAACGGCGACGGAATTTATCCGGTTTGAAGAGCGGGGTGTTCGCAAAGTAATCGGCATAGAGCAGGGCATGGCCTGTCTCCCTGTTGCGGTTCAGGTTGGGAGCACGACCAGGGAGTGACCCCCTGTACTGAGGAAGCTGCCGTTCAATGTGGTCATGAACGACCAGTGCAGCCACCACAAGATCTTCATCATCCGACGACGAATCGTCCGATGAATAAATGAAGTGGTGGAAGAAAAATTCATCTCCACTGTCCATACCTTTGTGGGCAAAGTGTCGAACACCTTACGGTCGTGGTGGCAAAGAGGCCGCGATGATCACCTCGATGCAGCAGGGGTGGTTGGCGGCCGACTACTGGCCGGTCTGGAGACCGGAGCACTTGTCGAAAGCTGACGTGGCCGCCGTGGTACGTCGTATCCCCTCTGCCACCGGCTACGACGGCAACAGTCAAATCTCCTCCAATCGATGGCCAAAACAACGGCGAAAGCGCGGGCGTGGTGACGGCCATGTCGAGACGTGGTTTGGTATGGACGGCTAGAGGGGTGCGCAGTGAGGAGGCGACCGGAGAATAGTGGCGGCGCCGACAGCAGGGCGGGGCGGGGAGAGGGAGTGGAGGCGTTGGAAGCGAAGGGACTGCTAGTGTCCCCGACAAGCAGGCCACTGAGGGAGGGGGGCAAGGGCGTGCGACGAGCCCGTCTGCGCGATGTCCGTTTCACCCCAAATTCGGCGCAAGTTTGGGCTGGGATGAATCGAAAACGGACGAAATCTGGACATTTGTCCGTTTGGGTCGCGCGTTAGGTCACGCTATTCGTTCATTCTATCTCAAACAGATACACCTGAATAGGATGGGGTCGCACGGTAAAATTGACCTTACTTTGAGACTGACCGGAGGATAGCAGACTTCTGCAATAGTATACTCGCACTGGCATGTGGACCCAGGCGCACATGTCAGTGGCCCCTCGTCAGAGGCCATCCCGCTCCGACGGCAAGACCCACCTTCGTCTGTCCGTGTCTCAGTAGCACTAGCAGCCCCCGACCCCAACGGACTCTCAGCCGCCTCCTGCTCTGCACACAGCTCACAGAAAATGGCGGCGGCGGCGGCGGCGGTGCGGTGTGCTGAGGAGCTGGTTGAGAGGGAGATGAGCGGGCGCGACGCCTCCCACGACGCCGCCCACGCGCTCCGCGTCCGGGACCTCGCGCTCTCCCTCGCCGCCGAGCAGGGCGTCTCCTCCCCCGACCGCCTCCTCATCGTAACAACCCCTCGCCTCATCTTCTGTCCTCCGCCAGTTCTTCCACTTGATGTGTGGAACTTTGTCTATCGATATTGTTTGTTTAATCCGTGAGGGGTGATTGCTCCAGGTGGAACTGGCTGCTCTCCTGCACGACATCGGTAAGTGGCAATTGCCCCACTGCTTCGTTATTGATTGTGTTCATGGATTTGCTTGAGCCGATTAGCTCTCGATTTGAACAACTGATGGGGAACTCCCATTTCTTGCTACCTCTGTTCGTGCAGGTGATTACAAGTACACCAAGTGAGAAAACTTGTCGTTGCTTTGCTAAATGTCTTCTTCCGATCTTGAAGAGTGAGAGGAAAGTTGAGCTGAGTTAGCTAAACTGTTGATCTCATAGAAGTCTTGTACTGTTTTCTGTTTGACGGTTGTATATATTGTATTGTCCGGTCGTTGAGAGTGTTCTATGCTTGGTAAGTGAATCTGATGGGATGAATGGATAGGGATAATGTGGAGGATATGAGCATTGTCAAAAGGTTTCTTGAAGAGGTAGGGTTGGAGGAGGGACAGAGGGAGGAAATAGTGGCCATTATTACAGGGATGGGTGAGTTGTCTGTCTTTGTGGATCTTTCGATGAATTGTTATGTTATAATTGAAAAAGAAGCAACTTCCTGTAATCGACCATGTTTTTTCCTTTTCGGTCGATGTTATAGCTCACTTGGAGCACTTTGGTCTAATTTTAGTTCTTTTTAGGGTAGTTCAAGTAAAAATTCAAACGCCTGCATTGGCTCATTCTGCATGTTAATGTTTTCTCCGTATATGATGTTATTTATTAGCTGTCCATATTATCTCTGCATGCATCAATTCTCATATTTTTATGCAATAAAAATAATTCATTGAGCTATTTCAAAGGTTACCGTTGTTATCTGTTACTTGAACCGAATACCCATTAGTAGTGCTTAGTGTGTTGAGATTTCTTGTAACACCATTGCACAATTTGTCTAATTCTTACAAAGTTACACCCGCAATGTTAACTGCAGGATTCAAAAATGAGGTTTCAAATAAGCTTAATGCGGAGCCCACTCTTGAGTTTGCAATCGTGCAAGATGCAGATCGTCTGGATGCAATTGGTGCGATTGGTAAGTACTGCTCAACCATAAATGTATGTATCTGTTTCGCATAATGGAATTTCTTTAATAATTCTAAAACCATACAACTATGCAGAGCTCTGGTTATACACATTCTTTCTGCACGTCCTGTCTTCCGTCTGTCTTTATCTGGCTCTGCTGTTTTAAGTTCATTTAATGATTGTCCCAGCATTTGGTTTTGGCACGTAGACTAGAATTAATTACAAAATATACCACTGTTTGTATATCTGCAAGCAATGCACACAAATAGTATGTCTAGGTGTCTAGCTCCCTGGCACGTTATTGATGAAACAAAAGCATCACTGATAGAATGCAGATGTAAGTCATGTGAATGTGGTATGCCGCTAGAATCTGAAGATGAGCTAGTACATGGAAATATCAAAACAGGGCACAACCTGTGTCATTTATTTCCATGGTTGTACCTAATCTGACCGATGTTACACGAAATGTTCTGGATCCTACTGGGTTCACTAGAACTGAGAAATGGTTACACATTCTCAATTGTTAGCTATAAAGTTTGGCCAAAGAAAATCGAGAATGTATTTTCTTTTGCTACACATCTGGTCATATTTTGTTTATTGTTTGTCCCCAAAAGGGATGGTCACCTTTTATCTGAATATGTGGTATGTCCCCCTAATCTTCCCAATTAACATTGTAGGTGTTGCAAGATGTTTTACATATGGAGGGAGCAAGAACAGTGCATTACATGATCCTAACGTACTTCCACGGGATAATTTGTCAAAGGAGAAGTATATGTCCAAGGAGGAGAAACAAACATCAATTAATCATTTCCACGAGAAACTTTTTAAGTTGAAGGACATGATGAAGACCGAGGTCAGGGCTGAGCTATGAAATACTGGTCCTTTTTATTTTCTTCTGTACTTTCTCTTGTCTAAACCCAGAAAGAAAGAATTGCCGCTTTAGACCTATTGAGCTTAGTAAGATTAGTAGAGTTATGTTAAGGTCTACTTGGCTTCGGTTGCACATAGCATGCAGGTGAGATCCAGCTTACTAATAAATCCCATTATATACATCAATGTTGTCTATGTAAAAATACATTTCCTTTATAATCTGTGTCAGTTAAATATTTTTTTAATGCACAACAAATAACCAAGGTCAGTCATTTAATGTACAACATGCCTGATTCATCATGAAATTACTTTTTTTTTAATTTAGAACTATTTTATTTTCAAAGAAGTTGATGGTCATAATGTCATGGTGGGTATCGTTTCGAACTTTCGATGTTGTAATCAACATATATTTTGACATTGAGGTAGTATTAACTATAATCATTGTTATAAATACCATGTATGGTTCTCAGTACAAACATGACGTACATGCTGTAGCCTTCCATTATGTATTCCATACATGACACATAGTTCACTCTGCACACAGGCTGGGAAAAAGAGAGCAGAGAAAAGGCACAAGTTCATGGAAAATTTTGTGGCTGAATTCTATGAAGAGTGGAGTGGCAGGGCTTGAAGTTGACCAACCAGACCGTGGGCTGGGAGGGCAAGGCATGAAGTTGGCCAACCAACGTTCACCAACTTACATCGATAAAAAGCCATGGATTACCATCTGGTTTTACATCACTGTTCAGGTTCCCATGAAACTTTCCCCAAAACGCAAGAGCTCTGAATATAATGAATAAATGACAAGACTCTTTACCAGATATTTCAGAGTCCCTGGATGTTGCCTATGTTTTTCTTTTCTGATTAAAACTCTGAAAGATTGCTCTTGGTAATATAAGCAGTTCTATCTGATTGAGAGCACATTTATTTAAAAAGATCTCATCATATCTTGCAGGTGTTTTATATTCAAATAATATACCACTAAATATCTTCGCCGGTAACAACAACACCTGAAGCTATAGTCATGCTGTGCTTCACCATTACAAAGTACACATATACAGAGGTTCTACATTTGTTGGCTAAACTATATAGATGCTAACAATGCAAAACGTAACAAATCAAGGACATAGTAACAATATCATCAAAGTGTAATAAGCAGAAAGCGAAAAAAGAAAGAAGGGAGGAAAGCTCTTTTTTTTTCCACACAGCATCAGCTTTTCTCCTGCAAAGTATCACCGGAGAGCACACCACCACTTGGGAACACACCACCAGAGGATGTTTGATGTGGTTCAGAGCTTGGCCTTGTCGTCCCTCTTGGCCAGCGTCACCTTGAGGCCATGCTTCATGAAGAGCGTGAGCGCCAGCTTGGGCGCCACCGGGTGTCCCTGGACGACGTCGACGCGGTAGCGGCGGAGGATGGAGGCGGCGGCGAACTTCATCTGGTAGTAGGCGAAGTCCTTGCCGAGGCAGAGGCGCGGGCCGCCGTTGAAGGCGGTGAACTTGTAGGCGGACTCGCCCATGAAGCGGCCGTCCTTGAGCCACCGCTCTGGCCTGTACTCCCTGCAGTCCTCCCCCCAGATGCTCTCCATCCTCCCCATGGAGTACATGGCGTAGATCACCTTGGTGCCCTTCTTCAGCACCGTGCCGTCGGGGAACACCTCGTCCTCCACAACCTGATCATGGATGGACGGATCATGAGAAAATTATGCACAGTACAGTTATCATGGTGACATGCTAACTTGTTGACTGTCACTGCTTCAGTTTTGTTATGATGTGCTTTCACCTACTCCAGTCCAGGTAGATGAGGTTAGGTGGTCTGACTAAAGATGCTGTGGTCTGCTTTTGGGTTTTCTACGAGCAAGGTAAAGAGTACCCTTGTTGGCAATCAACTTAATTTGCAGACCTATCATTAAGTATAGTAAACCTGAGCACAGGTGCAACTGCAACTGAATCTATGAGACACGTGTCTCTGTCAACCTTTTGAAGCCTTACAACTAAAGTACCCAGAAACATCAGTAGACGACCAACTGACAACCTACTACTCTACCACCTAGTAGTATAAATCTTGCGTAAGTTCTTTTTACACGTTAGCTTCACGATGATGCAAGCTCAAAACTCCAGTTAGTGAGGTGCAACAAATTAATTGGAATTCGCATGCGTCCATCGACTTGGGTAAGAGTCGACCTCAGTAGCAGACTAGCAGTATCCACAATAACCCAGTTACTTGTCATCGTTCCTATTTGACTCGAGGTACAAAATTGTACACATCGTACACCATCTAGCTAGTAAAAAATTCTACACATCGTTGTTTTGTTGTAGGAGAAGCTACCTTTGGCTTGCTTTAATTTCCTCATGCAGATGATGGGGAAGGGCTCACACACTTGGGAACTTGGTGTCATGAGGTCAAGTTAGTTCCACCAAACACCAACGCCGAATGCAAGGTCGCAACATGAGACAGTCGTGCCATGTATAGCATCGTGTGTGTATTGTGCATGCATGTACGTATTATACGAGCAAGATACGAAGTACGTAGCACGTACCTCCTTGTGGTCGACGGGGACGGACGGGTAGAGCCGGAGCGCCTCGGAGAGCGCGGCGTGGAGGTACTCCATCCGCTTCACCTCCTCCGGCTGGAACACCAGCTCCTCCTCCACCTCCCCGCTGCGGGCCCGCGCCGCCACGATGCCCTCGACCTCCTCCAGGATCTTGGCCTCCACGCCGCGGTTCTTGCTGAGCAGCCAGAAGAACCATGCCAGCGCCACGGACGACGTGTCGCGCCCGGCCAGGATGAAGTTGACGCAGATGTCGCGGAGGAACTTGTCCGAGTAGGCCGGGGCGCCGTCGGCGCCGCGCATCTTGGTGAAGATGGTCAGCAGGTCGGCCCGACGGAGCCCGCCGGCGGCGTCCTCTTCGCGGCCGGCCGCGGTGGCGGCGGCGAGCTCCTCCCTGCGCTTCCTGATCACGTCGTACGCGAACTCGTCGACGCCGGCCAGCGAGCGCCGGAGCACCCGCTCGTGGCCCACGCCCAGGGCGCGCATCCCGCGCCACACCGCGGTGGGCGTGACGAAGCGCACGATGGTGGCCTCGGTGGCGTCCTCGAACGCGCGGGCGAACGGGATCTCCGGGAGGCCCTTCTGGAGGCACCCGGGGTCGGCGCCGAAGGCGATCATGCACACGTTGTCGAAGGTGAGGCGGAGGAGCACGTCCTGCAGGTCCACGGCCGCGCCGGCCGCCTCGGTCTCGGCCAGCACGGGCAGCAGCCGCCGGTGCACGAGCTCCACCAGCGAGCTGGCCGTGAGCGCGCGGAACTCGGCGGAGTGGAACTCGAGGCTGGCCGCCTTGCGCTGCTGCCGCCACACCTCGTCGTCGGCCCCGAAGATGCCGTCGCCGAGGAGGTCGCGCACGGTGTCGCGGAAGTAGGGGCCCTTGGGGAAGTTGCCGAACTTGGTCTTGAGCAGGTGCTCCAGGTTCCGCGGGTCGGCGGTGACGACGCAGTGCAGGTTGGTGAACCACGGCCCGCGGAACGTGAACGTGCCGCCGCGCGCCTTGAGGACGCCCGTGATCCACTCGTACATGTCGCCCCGGACGCCGAGGAGGAGGGACGGGAGCATGCCGACCACCGGCCACGACGGGAGGCCCAGCGAGCGCCGCTGCCGGAGCGAGTGGATGGCCACGAAGATGAATACTGCCACGAGCACCTCCACCGTCTGCACCTGCGGGAGCAGGCTGGCGAGGCCGCCGGCGTCGAGGAACGGGGCCGTGGTGGCGTTGTGCGCGCCGCTCGAAATGAGCTCGTCCATGGCGCCCATGGCGTGCGTACGTACGATTTGGATATGCAGATAAAGGTGGTGGTGTCCTGGCGTGCGTGCGTGTGTGTGTGCGCGCCTTGAGGAACGAGGAATGTGTGATTTTGGAGGGGTTCTTGAGGCGTTGATATAGGTGGCCTCGTGGTGTGGTGTGGTTGCTTGATGGCAACGTATGGCCGTTTGATTTGGTGAGCTAAAAGACCTGCGACAACGAACTAATCAACACCTTTGTGGCCTTCCTCGAGCGACTCTTTTGACCCGAACCTTGAGCAACTCTCAACGGTTTAATCCCGAGGTGGCTTCATGGACACTGATCTGCTTCTTGCGCTCCAAATTGCATTGGCATTTGGCGTTCATGTTTCGGCTCTTTATCTCTTGCAAGCACTTATCACAATCTTGTAGGAGAGTGGTTTTTCTACCATGCCCGTGATATATCGTACTACATGGATTCTCTCAGTTGCTTCGAGATTTGTGCCACGTTTTCTGGTTTTGGCAAAGTTTGCCTTCTATCACAGTATTGCATATTGCTTTGCCTTTTGTTTTCCTGTTCAAAGTGTATCACAATGCATCGTCACGTACCAGTAAATAAGGTGCACTCGTTTGCCACAGTACACAATGAGGCAAGAAAAACATCGAAACTTTATGCAATACTCTAGAGCAAGGAAAACTATGTCAAAAACCAAAAAACATGGCATGAATCTCAAAGTAACTATGAAAGGTGGATACATGTGCAGTATGATGTGCATGGTAGAATGTCATTTCTAAGTCCGAGGAACAAATCCAGCTATGGACAACAAATAGATCTAAAACTCTAGATCACAACTTACTGCACTTTTGGATGTTTGAGGGTAGGTTGGAGTTGAAATTTGTGACTTAGCAATCTGAAAGTTGGGTGAAATCTGGATGAAAGGATCATCCCAAATTTGTGAAAGCTCATACCAAAATTTGGAGGCTCTCTTATTATAACTTTCTACAACTCTCATCTCTGTGGCACATGACCTCTCCTGCCAACAAAGTAGAGAACTCATGCCTACTTTTTGAAACGTGAACTTGGATGGAAGTACACACAGTTTTCTAAAGGTAGATGTTTTATTTTCCGCTCTTGCCGGGGTTCCTCTTGGGCACCTTGCCAAGGTAGCGGCTGATTCGGCTATTGTGTTCCGTGGCGAGAAGGGCCCGGCCCTTGAGCAGCTTGCGTCCCTCCAGGCAAAAGAAATCCTAGAGGGCCACCTCGGAACCACTAGGGCCCGCGAGGCGGCAGCAGCCGCGGAGGCCCCCACCCCTCCACCTCGCCGCCCCCGTGGTCGTGCCCCCCCTGAGGCCGATCCTAGTGAGGTTCGTGGCCGTACTCGGTCTCGCACTGCTCAACTACGCCGGGCTCTTAGCGCTGCCTCCACTGTTGGGTCCAGGGAGGACCCGTTAGGCGAGTGATCATGCACACTCTTTTTTGGAACCTGCGGGGCTTTGGCCACGATGGCCGCCGCAGGCAGCTCATTGAGTACATGCGTGAGGAAGCCATTGATGTGGTGGCAATCCAAGAGACAATGCACACTGAGTTCTCTCTGGTGGAACTTGAGCGTCTTAGTAGACATCTTTTCGCCTGGCACTGGTTGCCGTCTAGTGGGGTGACCGGTCACTCCGGTGGCATCCTATTAGGTGTGAAGGATGCTACCTTTGAGGTGGGCTCCATGGACCGTGGAACCCACTTTGTTAGTATGGAAGTCTGGGAACGTGACGTAAACTTCAAGTGGGAGATCATAGTGGTCTATGGTCCGGCCGATCACAGTCGATCCGCCGCCTTTTTGGCAGAGCTCCATGCCAAGATCTCCTCCGCGACCCTCCCGGTTGTGGTTGGAGGCGACTTCAACCTTCTTCGATCCGCTGAGGAGAAGAATAACTCTCGGGTGGATTTGGCCGAGATGCGTCGTTTCAATGACTGGGTCGCGGATCTGGGTCTCCGTGAGTTAGACAGGGTCAGGGCGCGTTTTACCTGGACTAATCGACAGGTCTCTCCGACCCTTAGCGTGCTTGATCGGGTGTTTGTTTCCCCGAACTGGGAACTTCGTTTCCCTTTGGCATCCCTTCAGGCCATTACCCGGATTGGCTCTGATCACGTCCCCCTCCTCCTAGCTTCTATGGATGAACGGCCGCGTCCTCCCCCGCAGTTCCGCTTCGAGAACTTCTGGCTTCGGCAACCTGGCTTTATGGAAGCGGTCCAGAATCACTGGGTCTCGGCTCGCACCGAGCCCCATAGGCATATGTCTGTTCTCGATGAATGGCATCACTTGTCCAAACGATCCCGACAGTTTATGAAGGGATGGGGGGCGAACATTGGGAGAGATCTTCGTATTCAGAAGGCTTCCCTCCTCGAGGAGATCCGGGACCTTGACCTCCGCGCAGATATCTCAGGGATCTCCGCGGAGGAATGGATGCATAGATATAACTTGGAGGACTCCCTTATGGAGATTTACTCCAAGGAGGAGGAGTTTTGGCGCCAACGCGGCTCCATTAACTGGGTGCTATTTGGGGATGCCAACACTGCTTACTTCCAGGCCATCGCTAATGGCCGTAGGCGACGTTGCTCCATCCCTCTTCTCTAGGAGGGTGGATAGTTGTTTCAAGACCCTCAGGCTATTCGCCTGCTAGTTGAAGACTTTTACAAGTCTCTATTTCAAGGTCGGCAGCGGAATGGTGTCGCCCTAGCTGACCATATCTGGTCACGCGACCAAC